ATACCCGAAAGTTCGCGAATTAAAATTGCACTTTATTAGATTAAAATTTAATGGGCTACAAAACTGCATACCCGAAAATTTTCTAAATATTCTGATTAAATATTTGTAAATTTTCATGGACTCTTTTTGAAGTTTGATTAATTTTTTTTGAAATTGTGCAAGCTTTGAAACTTTTATTTATGTGGTTTCTGTTATAGATTGAATCATATTTTAAATGAAAACAAGCTATTTTTAAGCAAAAAAAGAAAAAGCAAATTTTAAGCAAAAAACACGCACTACGGACAGCGACTGGATGCCTTGTTATGTCGCCTGAACACCACCTACACGACGAGGCGAAATTGCTCCCGGTCAAGGAGCGTAACACCATGCTCTGCAAGCAGTTCCTTGTCGGGAGCCATAGACGTGGTCACCCGAATGGGAAGCTGCTTGCAGAAGAGCACTCGCCCAGGCACGTCAGGAGGCATCTCTACGAACTGACGGACGAAGCCCAGAGGTTCATTAAACAACCTCTGGACCCGTCAGCATATCGACAGGCCCTGAACGGCATTCACAGGGAGTCAGTCTCAAGTTACGTAGACTCCAGACCTGTGAATGCCGTTCTAGGCGCACAACCACCGGACATAGACGAGACGAAGCTTCATCTGCCTCGGGAGACAAGAACAACAATAGCCCAACTTCGCTCTGGCTACTGCAGCAGGTTAAACTCATACCTCAGCAGACTAAACGCGGATGTGCCGAATGAGTGTCCGGTATGCGGAGAGACACCTCATGACTCGAAGCATCTCTTCGTATGCCGGAAAACCCAACAACCCTAACGCCTTTGTCCCTGTGGACCGACCCCATTGAGGCTGCACGCTTCTTAGGGCTGCCGTTAGTGGAACTTGACGACAACAACTGAGATATTAACCGATCTGGGCGGGATTGTTGTAGCCGCTACAACAACAACAACAACCGACTTCAATGCTCATATAAAAATTTAAGATTATCGTTAATTTATTCATGATCCAATGGTCGGATTTAAACCAAATAATTATGGAACCACGTGTGAGGTAACACCTTTTCTTTAAAAAAAGAATCATAGAAATCGGTTAACGTGGTGTAAAGTTATGCGGTAACATACATAAAAAAAATATTCCGACGAATTGATGATAACCTTCTCCTTTTTGTGAAGTCGGTTAATTATTAAAAATAAATAAATAAACATCAGTTGCAAACAATACCATTTTAAATTTCGGGTGCTAATTAGTTGACTGTAGGTGTATGTATATTTTTGTTATTATAAGGGGCGCTTTGCCCAAAATTACATTAAAATTACAAATTTGACGTGTTACTTTGGGTACCTTTTGTACTTTCTTGAGTATAACTGTTTCAGCGCAAAAGGGAGACATCCAAAAGTCATCGAAAATGCTTACGACGCTGAAATAAATTTTTGCTCCTTATTGAAAATAAACCGTAACGACCCTAAGGCTACGGTTACTATGCATGCGTATTCTGACGAACTTTTGTTCTGACGTTTTTTTCGGAACAAAAAATACGAAACAAACACGTATTTTTTTGTTGCGACGACTTCGTCAGAACAAAAGTTCGCCAGAATAGACATGCATTGTAACCGTAGCCTTAGTTTGTTACTCGTTATTATCAAAAAAGTAATATTTTAACTTGTTTTCCATTTTGAACTTACCGCAACTACTTGATTTATCTTATTAACCGACTTCAAAAAGAAAAAGGTTATCAATTCTTCGGAATATTTTATTTTTTATGTATGGTATCGCATAGCTTTGGACCACGTTAACCGATTTCTATAATTCTTCTTTTAAAGGAAAGGCGTTACCTCACAGGTGGTCCCATAATTATTTGGTTTAAATCCGACCATTGGATCATGAAAAAATTGACGATAATCTTAGATTTGTATATGAAAATTTATGTCGGTTGCTGTTGTTGATGCGGCTACAACACCAGACCGGCTAGTTCCTCAATCCTCTATAGGGTCCGTCCATAGGGACAGAGGCGTTAGTTGAGTGGCCTTTAGTGGGCATGCGAAGAGATGTTTCGAGTCGTGGGGTGTCTCTCCACATGCCCCACACTTTTTCCTAATGGCAACAACATTTTTTACAACAGTTTCTTTGCTGTCTTAAAAATTACCCATTTTCACTTCGATGGTTTGACATGGTAGGTACGATATGTACATGCATATGCATATGTACATATCGTCACCTGAAATGCAACAAGTAATTTTTAGCAAAAAAAACCGACTTAAAAAATATATCTATATATTTCATGATCCAATGATCGGATTTAAACCAAATTAGTATGGGACCACCTCTGAGACACTACCTTTCCATTGCAAAAAGAATTTATAATAAAAAATTATAATAAAAAAAAACAAAAAAAAAAAAAAATCCTTTTTTGGAAGTCGGTTAAAAAGACGAAACAAACATCGTCGCTAAAATACAAAAAGTCGTAACTAATAAAAAATTCAAAATTCAGTTTTTGATTGATATGATGGATTTCATCGAATTACAGCTCCCACATATTGTATGAAAAAAATAAAAAATATTAGTCACGACTTTTTCCATTTCAGTCACGATGTAATATTCGCACCAGCTCTATGCGAATTATGTATTGTAAGCTTAACCCTCAAATAAACTTTTTACTATTGTTGGCAGCAATTACAGCGTTTACTTTCATAACAAAATTGATATTGCACATTGGATATGGTTTCATCAGCTCAGGGAAATATACTTAAAATAATTAAACGTTTTTGTAGAAGAATTGCAAAAAATGTACCAAGTACCAATAAAATGTCATTATACTAGGAATATGCCTTTTCCAATTACTGAGTATTTGTAATTGTACTGGTACTTGTATTTAGATTTTCCAAATCTGGAGGTGTACTCTACATTGCGATTTGAAAAGCAAATCATTCGGATTCGAAAGCTTCGCACTATAACTTTGGGACTTTTTATTATTCCCGTGTATATTCATATGTTTATCGCTTCCTCCACATTCTCACGCCCTGCTACCAAATCTTGAATATTTCTCAACAGTTTTTTTACATTCAAGTTAGAGATGGGCAAAAGTCGTGCTTTTCTACGTGACACGTCGTGTCACGCTTTTTCACGCGTGAGCGTGAGCGGCTTTCAGTGAAAAATCACGTAATATCAAAAAAAGCTTGTAGGCTATTTTAAACATACCGAACTCAATAAGAAACTATCAAAGTCTTTAAAGCAACATGTTAAGACACGGTGGAACTCGTTATTTATAATGCTGTCAAGCATTCACGAAAGGCGACAAGAAGTTCAACAATTATTAATAGAAAGAAATGAGGTTCATAAACTATCTAAAATAAATGCAAATTTGTTGGAAAAATTGTTAGAATTTCTGGCACCTTTCAAGATGTGTTCTGAAAATTTGAGCGCGGGTTTAAATCCAACCATCCACGAGTACGTTCTGTGGTACAATAAACTACAAAAGCATTGTGAAGTGAATGCATCTGATTCTGAAGTCATCATCGATTTGAAGAAAAACCATTTTCTGGGATTGTTTTTAAATTCTCCGTTTAAAAAGTTACAGTTTATATCTGCAGAACAGCGCGAACGTATAATAGGGACAGTAAAAGCAATGCTTGAAGATAACTTAGGTAGACATGCACTTGAAGAAAAGAGCGCTCGCCCTCAGCACGATTCCCAAATTCTGGATGATGATATTCCTTCTACCTCGAAAAGGGCAAAAACCCGTGCAACTTTTGACGAATTCAAACATGCGACAAATGAATCTGCAGAAACAGTTTTTGAAGAAATTAATACGGAAATACAGATTTATTTGAACAAATCGGAAAACAAAAGTTGTGACGATGTTTTAAAATTTTGGGAAAAAGCTAAAGATTTGCCCCTTCTTAGAACTCTTTCAAGGCAAATTTTAAACATACCAGCTAGCTCAGCAACTAGTGAAAGAGTGAAAGAGAAACAAAAATATGAGCTAATAGGTCCATTCAAGATCAAAAAAAATTTACGAATTGTTACTAGTACTTGCAAGTTTTTACTGGAAATGCATTCAATAACAAAAAATATTTGCGAGAGAGCGAATTCGAGAGCGTAACTACCCGAGAGAGCTGCAAACTCTTCCGAGTAATAATTTTACTAGCAGGAATTTGCAGGAGTCAAAAAGTAAGGTTATGTTTCAATTTCAAACGTAAACATACTGTTGAAGAGGATGATTTGATGAAACATAATTAGTGAAATGAAAATATGGATGTTAATTTTAACCATCATAAAGTGTCAAAATGGCTTAAGTTGCAAGTTTTTACTAGTTTTGCGTTCAATAACTTTTTCTGAAAATTTTCTCTTTCTCTCTATTTTTCTTTTATGCTCTCGTTGCATGTACGTACTGGAAAAGTTATTGAATGAACCTAATGTCATTTTAATATTACATACGTTGAATAAATATTGAAACCAATTCTTTTTTATACTCGTAATAGATACATAAGTATGTATATCTGAAATTTGTTAAAATAATAATAGTGCCTTCAGCCCTTGCTAGGCGTGTGGCCAAGCTTTTGTAATAATACTTGTGTTATAAAAGGCTATTTATATGAAATACTATTTATATAAATAGTTTCAATTTCAAAAAAATGTCCGTGAAAACCGTGCGTGAGCGTGCGTGATTTAAAAAATAGACGTCGTGAGCGTGCGTGAACGTGATTGAAAAAAAAATAGCAGGACGTGAGTGTGCGTGATTTAAAAAACCATCAACGTGAGCGTGCGTGAACGTGAGCCAAAATTACTCACGTGCCCATCTCTAATTCAAATATTCAAAATAATAAGCCTAGCCCAGGTACGTCAGGATTTGGAGGAATTTACAGGATGCTATTTCCGTAGGACACCTTACACAAGGTTTATTAGAGGCTTAAAGTGCTTTTCCTGTAAATCCTTTAAACCTGCAAATACTGAAGTACCTGGAACACTTCATGATTTCAAAATTAAGTTTGTATTCATACTCACGTTTCGCATCTGGTATCTCTTTAGTAGGTGACCAAACTAATAAGGCGCGATCGTTAAGACCTTCTGGTTTACGTTCATTTTCTGGTATAAGAGGTGGACATATGGCCTGGTAGTCGCGACCGACACGAATTTTTTCTAGAAATACATTTATACATAAGCCGGGAATGTTTCCAAAGTAAACTTTTTTAAATTTTATCTTACCCTCATATTCGCTCTGTTTATTTTTTGACTTTCCGTTGCGCTTAATGGCTATTAGAAAGATAATTAAAAACGGAAGTCCTATGTACAATTTCTTTATTTTAAAGATCTTATAAATTTTCAACTCACAATTATCATCATCGGAACTAGTTTCCGGAGTTCCCGCACCACCAGTACCCCCACTACCAATATTGGAACTCCCGCCTACTGTACCACCAGCAACGCTGCCGCCGTGACCATTCGGACTTGGACCGCGTGATCGCCTCCCATTCCGTACCAACTCTGAGTTTCTCTCAGCCAGGACCATTTTGTCTCGAATCAGTTTAACTCGGTTTTGTTTCTCCAGTTTTAAGCTTTTCCAGTTCTAGCTGCGCTGTTTCACGCAATTAACAAAATATACTAGGCAACTCAATTGAAATCTATAAACATATGTAAATAAAATAGAAGATCAAGTAAACATTTCCTCTTTAATTTTCACTCATTGAAATTTGCAAATTGAACTGAATTGAGAAGTCTTTCAACATAGAGCTGAGAAAGTGAATAAGAAGCAAACAAACGATGCGACAAAAAGTCCATTCAGCACAATGGTCGAGAGTCAGTAACCACTTGCACAGCGCACTTATAAACGACCGTAGATCGTAAATTCCGCAAATGTGGTGGAACAAAATCATCGAACAGCCAGTTACCCAGCTGAGCGTTTTTTACACCTTTAATAATTTGGATATTTCACTTCTCTGCTATTCAGTACATTATAATTACACAAATTTTTAGTTATTACCTTTTTATTCCCTTATCGTTCCAACGGAGATTTTCTCAGCCAGTCACTACACAGTCTCAATTTAAACTAAGCTAGATACTTCTCAACACCAGGAATTCGTTGCGAGTTTTTGATATTACTTCGTTAGATCTTATACCAGCTCGAATAGTATTATCTAAGGTAGTTACAGAAAATTATTTAAATTTAAAAAGGCGAGAGCGTCCGATGTGCCAACTGCTGCAGCCTCGCTTCTAGCCACAATCACAATGAATGGGCAGGTAAAACTCTCAGCCGCTGTATTGTAAGCACTCCGCTGAATTCACAGCTTACTTTAAAAAACGACCGTAGTGAATGTGTACGTAACTTTAGCCAACAAAAAGAGCCCAAGACATGTACATAGTAAAGGATTGTTTTAACACACTCTTTTTGAAGTATACTTCAATAAAAAAGAAATTTAAAAGTAATAAAAATCGTATTGAATGGCATATTTTGAATTTACGATAAAGGGGAAGAGCATGTCCACTTCAAAAGGCCAATCTTCTCATTCAGCACCACACGCTGTGTTTCGTGAGCTGATTGCCGAACAAAAGGTCTGTTCGATGAGTGCACTAAAAGTATCAAAAAGTGCAGTGCGGCACACCCTCTGACATTTAGGCCCAATTTCAGATGACCCATTTAAGTAGAGATTGTTGATTAACTTCCACTATTCATTTTCAGATCATACATTTAATCTGCACTTAAATAGCAAATATTGGCTATTTAAATATCGTCGGCTGGGTAAAAGATTGTCGTAAGCGCCATTTTGACGATTTTTAGTTCTATATTCAGTTATTTATTTTGAAATAAGGTCCTGGGAAAATTTTCCAATACGGAACCCGGCTTTAAAAAAAAACAAAAATGAAGGGGTTTAGAGCGGCTTTTTATGATTGTAAATCTGGAAACCCCACCCTCCGGAGGCTTATAGTTTTTATGAAAATTTAATTTTAAGTTGCAAAAAATGTCAACTTCAACCTCACTTCTTGCTTTGTAAACCAATTGAACTAAAATGTCGGAGCTGCCTCACAACAAAAAATGGCCAAAACAAAAAAAGCACTGAAAACGAGAAACAATAAAAACGGGCATTGTAATTAATTTTTTTTAATTAAATATCGATGTATTGATAAAAAAAAGTGAATCAGTCTAAAATTTAGAGATTTTGTAATAAAAATGTTAACTTAGTTATTTATGCAAGTATTGATTTTTATGGTAAAATCGCGCGATTTTTTATTACAAATGTTCACTATTTATCAAAGTATTGATTTTTATGGAAAAAGCGCGCGATTTTTTATTAAAAATTTTCATTATTTATGAAATTATCGATGTATGTTTTCTACATTTGTGTACTTTGAACTACAATAACACCAGTAAATATTATTTCCCCTCGAAAAAAATTATACCGTTATGATCAGAAGTAAGATCGATCCTAATATTATTATTTTTAATAAGAGCCATGTACGTATTGTACACTTATACTCCCTAATTATACGCACTTATTTGTGGTGTATTTTTTTTAACGTATGGTAGCATAGGGTTAATTCCAAAACGTCAAAATACAAAGCATTGGTCTCTTTTATTTCTAAACCGCACTAGAAGAAAACATCTAACTTGCGCAACCTAGTTGTAAACTAGCATCAAACCGTGGTTGCGCACATTTGACATTACAACCTACTGGGGTTTGGAAGTAAAAGAGACTGATGCTTGTATTATGACGTTTTGGAAAGCAGCCATACATTTTGTGTTACTGTCAGCCATTGTTATTTCTGCTTGTTTGTGAAATGTGCAAACGTTCGTGAATACATTTATAAACGCGTTTTACTTAATTAATTAATTAATAATTGTATATTAAAGTATTACAAACCCATGCGAACCTTTTAAGGATAATATATTTATGTAAATAAAAGTGATAGGTGTGGGGTTATAATAAAATGTGGTGATAGCAGGCGGGATATTTTAACAACAAATAACTTAAGTACTATTAGCAACAATATTGTGAAAGTGAGAAATATATTTGAAGGAGACCTCCATTAGTATCCCCACCGAGTTTCATAAAAAAATTCGGTATACTTTGCACGGAATAGCAATTGGTTCCGTAATGGAAATCTCAGCCAAGGTCTTTCGATTGGTGTTATCTGTTTTTAGATATCTCCTTTAGATTCCGAAATATTGAATACTTCAATAATTTAGTAAAAATTTAGTTGGTGATGCAGTCATATTAAACTAATCAATATCTTAAAAATGGCGTTCTCCATTTTTGGATATCTCCTTTAGTTTTCTAGATATTGAGTAAAAAGTGTCGTTAATTTGGTAGAAATTTTGATCACTTTTTGTCGTATTTCATAAAAAGTGGCTGCCAAATTGTGGACAAATGACGCTTACGACAAAATTTTACTGAAGAAAATCCTTCATAAACTCAAAACTTATTAACAATAAACATTAAAAATTGAATAATTTAAGAATTTTGTGACCTAGTAACATTTTCAGAGACTTTGGAGAAAATCTATCTTCGCGTTTTTGAGAAATTGCATTCCAAACTGCAATCGCGATTTCTCACAACCGGTCGAAATTAACATACGACAATCTTTTACCCAGGCGACGATATGACATATGCAACCCTGTGTTTGTACCAAACAACCAAGATTGATTGGTAGGTTGTTTAATCAATCCCACCAAAAAATAATCAGCGGTTCAGCACAAAATGTAAACAAACAAGCAAATGCAACAACAATTTCAAGGAACAAGCAGCAGCGCTGTCAATTGTTTGGCATATTCAAACAAAGTTGATCTGAAACCCAACGAAAGTTAAGTGGCATTTAAACAACAATACACAATTAAACTTAAGTGCCATTTAAATATTCATTTGAAATTGGCCCTTATATTACATTTACATTGAGCCCAAATGCGTCATTTGGGCGAGAAATCTGAAATGCGAAGTGAAATCAGGCATTTTTCCATACAAATTCGCATTTCCAAAATGAAGCATTTCAACGCATTTAATCAAAATTACGAAGCAAATGCGTTCCAAAAGCTCTTGTTTGTTTTTGACATTTTGCGTTTTTCAAATCAAAACAAACTCAACGTAATAAATAAATCTTTGATATTTGTGTATAAAAATTGTTAATTTACGCATAAATTCGCACAATTTTAGTTAATTCAAATAATAATTGCCTCTTAAGTTTCCAAAACGTGTTAAAAAATATAAGGCGTGCAGTGTTTGCTTACATTCATTTTGTTTTTCTTTTCCGTTTTCAATTGATGAGAAGTCAAACGAAATGCGAATCAAGCAGTGTAAACGCCTTTAAATGACTGATTTCAAATCACGCATTTGGGTCCAATGCACGATTGAGAGAAATAGAGATTGCGCCAATCGCGGTACCGCTAATCCGCTCTTTGTGATTTTGACAGAATCAGCTGTGTGCGTGACGTCATCTTGGTGCAATTGTTGATTGCGAGCATACGAAAAAACCAAATAACAATTTTAATTTTTCTACGTTAATATTTCTGCGTGGTTTTAAACAATTATTGAGACATTACAAAGCAAAATGAAGTGTGCCGTGGCAAAGTGTAATAGTGAAAACAAAAGGAAAGCGTGCGATATAAGTTTTTTTTTCGTTTCCCACGGACACAAATCTGTCGAAAAAGTGGAAGCAGTTCTGCCGGCGAGGAGATGCATTAAACACCAAATCGAGCTATGTGTGCATGAAGCACTTTACTAGTGAAGATATTGAAAATAATACACAGTTCGAAATGGGTAACATATTGTGTATTTTCATATTATTTGCATTTAATATTGTTTTTGTAAATGCCTTAGGTTTTGCAAAACTTCGTCGTTTAAAACGTGGTGCGGTGCCTACCATTTACGAAGAAAATCTGGGCGATTCCCAGCGTGCGGAAAGAGCTCAGCACAGCAAGTGACTTGAGCAGAGTGAGACTGCCGTTGCCACTGCAGGTAACAATTTGCATTTATATAAAGTTTTGCATTATACTGTAGCAAAGTTTTTATAGCTGTTGCGAGTGATACTGTTGATGCAAATATATCTGATGAAAGTGTGAATAATAAGGAAAATAGCCTTACGGAAGCAAACCTTTCCAATATTCCGAAGACTTCAACACCTCGCAAAGTATTTTATTATGACAGCAGTTTGCAGGAAGTTGAAGAGTTGGAAGCAAAATTGTAAGTTTTTAAAAGCAATACAGCACTAAAAATATTGGTTTATATAACAGTTTTCTTTTTATTACATGCATATTAGAGAAACATTAAAGCATCATCATCATAAAGCGGCATCTTACCGCGCTGTTACGTACCTAATACAAAACAGTGCCCAAATTATTATACATTTAAAAGTTCAGCTTAAATTATGTTTTACTTACATAGAATATTTGTTTCCAAAGAAGCCACACTCATGCATCCTCTCGGCAATGGTACAAAAGTCATCAAATAAAAGCTGTGGAGTTTATGGTGGTTGGCTACCGTCCACAAATATAAATATGAACTCTGCATGGCTTTTTACAATGGCGAGTCCAAAAATTCACTTTGCTGCACACCTTCCTTTTGGTCCACATGAAATTGCAAACACTGTTAATACATCTATTTTTTCATGTGCTAAAAATCGTACTTACCTAAAAGGCTACATGTCCAAAATTATTGCTACGTGTTCCTAATTAATCAATCTTTGTATATTTATTGATTCCTGCAAAATTGGGCCATATAATATTAAAAATTAACAAATTTGTCTGCATTGTTTACATATTTTTATATGCGTTTTGGCATTTCTCTCTCGCAAATGCACCAAGATGACGTCACGCTAAAATTACGCTCAAAAATCCTCTCTCATTGGCGCAATCTTGTATTCTATCATTCTTGACTGGACCCTAGAGTACAACTTCACAACAAGCTTTTCAGGCGTTCAGCGCTATTCAGCCTTGCAGAAATAGCTGAATTGTGTAGCTGAAAGCCTTAAAAGCGGCAAAGGCTTGAAAAGCTTGTTGTGGTAGCTCAAAAAAATACATTCGTTTAGTGCAAGAAACCCCCTCATCTAACGCTTTTTCTCAAGATCGAACGACAAAAGATCACGCAAGAACAAGAGTGAAAAAAGTCGATTTGTTCGAGCGGGTTCTACTCCATCTTGTTTCGCTGTAAAACGAGCTAAAAGAAAACAAAGCAAAGAAAACGAAAACCAAAACCGAAACGTTCCCACGACAGTCGGGTCTACGTAACCGGAGCGACCCAGTTTTATATCTGGCCAAGGACTGTCACTCCAGCAACACTCCCCAAACACTTTTTGGGGAATTTGGTTGCTGTTACAGCTACAACAACAACGAAAACCAAAATTAACCGAAGTTATTGTCAG